GTCTGCTTCTTATTCTTGCCCCAGGACTGCTCCCCTAACATCCCATTTTTACCACACCTCTTTTTTTAGGGCACTCCTGCCCTGTTTCCAGGTTCTCGCCGCCTTGGGTCTCCAGGTGCCTCCAATATCTTGGTATCCGCTTCCCAAGTCCATGCCTCTTTGAGCTCTCTCCGGGTGTCACTGGGTGTTCCTTCATAGCCTTCGGGCCCTTCGAAACAAATCAGCCCCTGCGGACTCTCCTGGCGAAGAGACAGACAGGCTGTGGAGGGGAACTTGGAAGAGACGACGTTCAGAAGCCTTTGCTGAGACTGGGGACAGAGGCGTCCGCCTCCCGCCGCGCCAGTCGGGTGGGACGCCTCGCTTGGGGTACGTTGGTTCGTCCTCTCTCCGCGCAGGATGCCCACACCCTGGGCGGCTTGGGCCTGGGCCAGTGGCACGGCTGGGGAGGCATTGGTCTTGCAGCCTAGTCGGGTGTGCGGGGAGGAGCGGAGGGTGGTGGTGGTGGTGGTGGTATTGGAACGTGAAAAAGGCAGCGCCACCCCAAGTGCTTGTTCCAAAATGGGGCTTCAGCTGCGCACGAGATCACTGCTAGGGATCCCTTCTCTCTTCAAACTTGAGTTTCAAGGAGTATGGCTTTAATCCACAAAGCTCTCCAAGGGCTTTTTCCATGGAACTCTGGAAGAAAAGCAGCTCGGTGAGTGAATTTGGAACCAGATCCAGCTGAATCTGAGTCTGGAGGGCCCTGTTCCTGGCTGCGGGATCTCTGGCAACAATAGAGACCTCTCTCCGCCTCAGCGTAGGTGCCCAGCAAATGTTAACTCTCTTTTCTCTTCCCTCTTGAGGCATGAGGGTGGGAAAACTGAGGCCCCGGGAGCAGAAAGGACTTGGCTGACTTTAAACCGTGAGTGAGTGAGCCAAGTACCAGAGCTAATAAAAACAGCATGCTGCTCAGTGAGCCTTGGCTACCTAAGGGTTAGGTAGGCTATTCTAGTTACTCCTCTCCATTCCCGGTAGGCGCTGTCAGAGCCCCCTTTACAAAGGAGTCTGTTGAAGCACCTGAGAGGTTAGGAGTGACTTGCTCAAAGTCGCACACCCCACTGGTTGTACAGGAAAGATTTCAACCCAGCTTCTAGAAGCCATACTTCTCGCCATTATTCACTGTCTTCTGTTTGTAAGTGTTGTCCCTGCCTAGCTTTGCCACTTTCTGTTCCTAAGGTGCTGGGGTCCCTTGAACCTGGTTAGGCTATTATCCTTGAGTTTTCCTTATGAAAAGGCTTTCCCTTGGATTCATAGAATATAGTTTCCTTTGGATGCATAGAATTCACATAGAATCGTAGTGACCCAGGATTTGGAAGATTCCTGAACAAATACTTATAAGTGTACTATGTGCCAGACATTGTCCTGAGTCCTTTATAAATATTAATTCATTTAATCTTCAAATCAATGAGTTAGGTTATATCATTTCCCCTATTTATAGATTTAAAAAAAACAGGCACAGAGAGATTCACTAACTTGCCTAGGATCACACAGTAAGTGATCAAGTGGATTTCATACTCTGAGCTACTGTGCTACTCCTGCTCCCTCTAATAAGAGAGAAAAGCAGGTCCTGCTTCTAGTCTAGTAAGGGGAATTAGGTACAGAAATGCATGAAGAAGATGATAATAGCATTAACAATGATTTCTTAATATCAACTGGTACTCAGTCCATATTAAAAATTTCTCTGATTGGCTCAAGGATATCTTCTTGCACTTGGTTTGTTTGAATCAGAATCCAAACAAGGTCCACATGTTGTCTTTAGTTGTTACATGCTTTGAGCTGTACTCTTCTAAAACAGTCCCTTCCCTTTGCTTTTTATGTCATTGACTTGTAAGAATGATTTTCTTTTAAAATAAATTAATCAAAATAAGAGGTTAGAAAAAATAAACCAGAGACCATTCCAGATTATCCCTGTATAAGAGGGCTCAGTCCTCACCTGGGGGAACTCAGAGGAATGTGCAGAACATACATCCCTTACCCTCATTCCCTGCACATGCTACTGCAGAAAAGAGGTGGGAGTCTTGGACATTAGGTGTTGTGTAAAGTGCACTTCGAGGATCCTGAAAGCTCAGAGCCAGGGAAAAGGTTTTTATGTTGATATCTGCTCATCTGCTCTGAAATGCCCCCGGGGTGGCTCTGAGCCAAGGAAACTTGAGGCTCCTTTCCCTACTAATTTGATTTCATTTCCCAATAGATTCCTGCAGGCAGATCTGTTTCCTCCAGCAGTATCTGGGCTGGGCGACTCTAGCTTCCCTGCCTCTGGCTAATACCATGCAGCTGCCTATCTGGGCCAGCAGAGAGATGGCAGATGTGTCTAGAGCTTAGGGCCAGACATATCTCCTACCACAGCGTGGCCCAGTTCAAAGCCCCAAGGGGCTTGGGGCCTTGACAAACCCCTCAGGTAGTTCTCCATCCCATGCCCCTCTCCTCTGGCCATTTGGATACTCGGACCATCTGGGAGATGGCTTGCAGGCACCTCTCTCCCTGCAATGAAAGCTGAAGCAGGCAAACTCCACCCATACCTTCTTTAACCATTGAAATAGGACTGATAATTTATGATTGACAAAGTAATAAAAGTCGATTGTAGGCCAGCCAGAAAATGCAGTAAAGCACTAGCAAGAAAAAAAATTACCTATAATCTGGCCATAGAAAGATAACCACTGTATATTCAGCACGCATCCTTCTGGATTTCTTTCTATACATATTTGTGTGTTTTTTTAAAAACAGATTTATTGAGATATAATTCACATATTTTAGAGTTCACCCTTTTAAAATGTATAATTCTTGGGTTTACAGTAGATTAAATCTTGTGTGTTAATCACCTCGAGTTTCATGTTTTCTATGTTGTAGCATGTGTCAGTATTCTTTTTTTTTATTGCCAGATAATATTCAGTTCTATGGATATACCTCATTTTGTTTATTCATTCATCAATTGATGGATATTAGGGATGTTTCCACTTTGGGGCTATTATGAATAATGCTGCTGTGAAAGTTCATGAACAAGTTTTTTTGTGGACATATGTTTTTAGTTCTCTTGGGTTTACGGTATTTTAGAGTGGAATTGTTGGATCACATAGTAACTCTAGGTTTATTTGAGGGACAACCTGTTTTCCACAGCAACTGCACTACTTTACATTCCCGCCAGCAGCACCTGAGGGTTCCAATTTCACCACATTCTCACACTTGCTATTACCTGTCTTTTTCAGTATAGCCATCCTAGTGGATGGGAAGTGGTATCTTATTGTAGTTTTGATTTGCATTTCCCTAATGACTAAAAGTGTCACATCTCTTTTCATGCACTTATAGACCGTATGTAAGTCTTGTTTGGAGAAATAGCCACTCAAATCTTTGGCTCATTTTTAGATAGGGTTATTTATCTTTTGCTGTTGAATTGTAAGGGCTCTTTATATATTCTACATACAAGTCTCTTGCTATATATATGATTTCCAAATATTTTCTCCCATCTGTGGGTATCCTTTCCCTTTCTTGATGGTGTCCTTTATTACTCATATATTTTTAGTGCAATTGTATGTTTTGTTACTTGTGTCTTGTCCAGCTGACATCATGTAGTTAAGTACTATAAGTTCAACAGTTAGGGTTCAAATTCTGACTCAGCTGTGTGGGTCCTTTAGGCAAATTCCTAAATCTTTCTAAGCCTTAGTTTCCTCATCTGTGAAATAGGGATGAGCATCAAGTCCACTTCATAGGGTTGTTATGAGGTCATCCTGATTTAATCAGAAGATGGGAGGGAAGCCTTGGCGTATAGGAAGCTCTCAACAGGCGGTGTTTACTGGTGTTCCCCATTTCCCACGCCACCATGAACACTCGTCCTCTTCCTCCTCTCTCTCCCCTTGACTCCCTTGCTACTTTCCCCCTTTCTCTTGTTTTTCCTTTTCTCTTTCCCTCCTCCTCTTTCTTGCCCTTCTTGTCAGCCTTCTTGATAGCAGATGCCCTGGGCTCCATTAGAGCTAGTTTACCTCCAGGGGTGGCCTTTGATGCCTAGAGTCCACGAGCCCTCATCCAGAGTCTGTTGTCTCTAGCCTTTGGGATTCCTGAACAGGGATAGCCTCCAGCTGATGCCAAACAGAGAAATCTGAGCCAGGGATTTGTACCTGGTGTTACCTTTCACTCCCTTAGATTCTAAGCCAGGGCTGGGAGAGGCTGGTGACAGGAGGAGCTGCCGAGTGAAGGGCAGGCAGAGAGAGGCCACAAGGGAGTGCTGCCCAGAGAGCTGGATCCCAGGGCTCCCCCTGCCCCCCTCCCCCATGGCAGACCATCCCCTGCCCCATAGCTCAGTTTTCCCATCTGGGCATCACATAGCACTATAGCACCTTCTTATGTCTCTTAGGCCAAGAAATAGTTAGGGATGATTAGCAGCTATTGTAACTTTAAGGTGCTCAGCAGAAAGAAATATGGGACAAGTGGGGAATCACTCCCTTTGGATTTGATTCACAGAGTATCTGATATCAATTCAGCCAGTATTTTTTAATATCATCTACTCACTCAGTCTTTGGGACAATCCCTGACATGACACTTACTGTCTTTTTCAGTCACAATTCTGAACTGTTTATTAAAATAAAACATATATACAGAAAAGACCACAGATCACATAAAAGTACAGCTTGATGACTTTTCACAAGGAACATGCTCTTGTAATCAGCACCCCTACCAAGAAACAGAATGTGACTAGCCCCTAGAAGCTCTGCCCCTGCTCCCTTACAGTTCTGCCCTCACCTCATCCCATCAAGAGCACCCACTAATCAGAATTCTTAGATTCAAGTGACAGAAACTCAGCTCATGCTGGCTTCAGTGAAAATGGAGTATTTTCCCCAACTGAGAAGTGCATGGGTGAAATTTGCACAGCTGGATCTGGTTCTGGCAGGTTGCTTACAGACTCCCAGTCTTTATTTCTCTGCTTAGTTCTCTCCTGTGTTGGCTTTATACCAGGTGTTTTTCCTCTTCCCTTCAAACTGCAAAAATCCTGGCATTGAACTTGGGACTGATGTCCACTGGTCACTGCGGCAGGGGAACAGCAATGTGGACTGCATAGATGAACCCGGGTGTGGTGGGTCAGCCCTATCCAAACCACACACACTTTATGTGGGTGAGGGGTGGTTCCTCAAAGAAAAAAACCTAGAGGCTGTTATCAAAAGAAGGGGGAGCACGTTCTGAGTGAACACAAATAGCTCTGTGCAGAACTGAGCCCCAAACTAGATGCCAGAGAACAGACACTCCCTTGCAGAAAAGCTAGCATCCCAACCCTCAAGTTGCTCACAGGCAAGAAGGGGAGGCAAAGTGTCATGCAAGGCAGAGCAGTGTGTGCCTGGAGAGAGGCACAGATGAGAGAGCTGTTTTCAGAGATGCTGAGATGGCTCCTGGTGGGAGTCTGGGGTGGGTACTCACAGTGGAGGGGTCAGGGAGCATGGCGCTTGCTCGAGGAATAGTCATGATTCCAGGTCATCTGAAGCATAGGATGCTGCCTGGGAAATGGGAAGTGAGGTTGGAAAGCCTAAAGTTGCTGAGTAGGAGAATGGCCGGATCCCATGTAGGGTATAGGCAGTGCTGATGGCTCTGTGCAATATGGATTGGAGGATGGCCTGGTGGGGGATTTTGCCAGGATCCAGGAAGGAAGTATGCATGTCAGGACTAGCATGGCCTTCCTGCAGTACTTGTGGTACTTGATGTCTGAGCCGCTCACTTAGACCACCATCTGATCCTTTGACCATCTCATGGGTGTATCTTTAACATCCCCAACTAGATCGTCAGCTCTACCATGACAGGGACCCTGGACATTGGCCCTCCTGAATTGGTCCTTTTGCTTTCCCATCTTTTCTCTGTTTTCTATATTTTATCCATCATTTATCATTTTTTTGTTGTTGTTCTACTTTCTCCATTTCCTCAGTTTTATCTTTCAGCCTTTCTATTATAAGTGTAATCTCTAAGTCAGTTTAACTCTGAGGAAAATAAAGGGTGTACAAAAAAAGTAATGTACCCTTGTAGTGCTTTATGTTCTTTAGCTGTGAGCTGTTTTATAAAATCATATAGTGTACATTTTGAATACTGACTTAACCAAAACTCATTTTAAAAGTGTGTATGTATTTCTCTTTCTGTGTGTGTGTGCATGAGCGTGTAGAAAAAAAATAAATCTTTGTCTTTCATTACAATCAGTCACTAGAAAAGGCTGTAAATTATACTAGTCACAATTTACGCCTTTAAAAAAAAAGTAACAGCTAATAAACTTGAAAGCAATTACCTCTTGTAAAGTAGCATTCTGGAGCAAGAAAATGACTCATGATAACAATTCGACTTTTTAAATGATGTACATTTTAAATTACTTTAGTTATTTTAAAACAGATAATATGTTCATATGGGCCAAAATTCAAAAAATACAAAAAAGGACTTATCATGAAATATCTTTTCCCAGCTATTTCACTCCCATCTGAAGGGAAACTAATATGGTCACTGTCTTGTATAAATTTCTGGGGATACCTTATGCTTATTCAAGCTGTGTGTATTATGTTGATAAAAGTAAATTTTAGAAAGACTTTGTGACAAAACATCTTCAGTGACTTGAGAAAGACAACTCTGTAAGGTTGTTCTGGTTATCAGGGTAGAAGGAGGAACTTTCTATTTCTTCTATGGCCTCTTGCACTTTACTCCCACCCATCTCCCCTGAAATATATGATTATTTTAATCATCACCATTCTCATCAACATCACCATCAAAGACTTGGTGGAAATTGGAAGCAGGGCTGCCTCCGAGGTGGGCCTGGGGGAGTCACAGGGGACAGAGGATGTCATTTCCTTTTGATTGAGTGGCCCTTGCACGCTGGTGTGGGCTGTGTCTGCTGTAGGATGGTGCCCCTTTTCCAATTTGCACAAATAAAACATGAGCCCACGATGCCCTCACCTGTACCTTTAGAATTTTGTGCCACCTCTATGTAACACCTTTTCCAAAAATTAAAAAGGAAACAATTCATAGGGGAAGAAGGTAGCCCTTCTATTGGGGCCTTCATTAGGCAAAGACTTAGGAATGGGACTCACTGCAGAGCCCTACACTAGGGGTCTGGGACTTTGATTTAAATCCCTTCCCTTCCCCTTACCAGCTGTGTATTTGTGTCTTTGCACCCAATGCATCATTTTAAAAAGACAAGGATAATTTCTACCTCCTAAGGATTTAAGGAAAATATAATTCAATCATGAAGATAAAGTACACATTACCATGCCTCCCTGACATGTTCTTCCTGACTTTGAACCCTGGGATGGTTGGTGGGTGTGCTGAACATAAGGCACCTTATCAGAAAACCCCCAGCTGGGACCTGGACTTCTCTGGACACCCGGTGTGGGTAGGATGTTTCGATCCCCTTCCAAGTCTTGAGTTCCAATCATGGGGTCAGATAATAGTTCCTGTATTGTGTGTCACTTAAGAATACCTCTGGCTTCCCTGGAGTGCAGGATGTCAAGATCCTCCTTAGCCAGGGGAGGGCAGGGCTGGCCAGGGCAGCTGTGTTTGGGCCCAAGCATCAGGGTCCTGTATTCTGCAGGGATCTCCCAGGGTGGGAGAGGCCAGCAGCCTACATTCAGAAAGTGCCAGGAACTTAGAAATAGAAGTCCTGGGTTGGAGTCCCAGCTTCCCTGCTGTCTCTCCAAGCCATGGGTCCTTTGTCTAAAAAATTGAGATCATAATACCCACCTCCAAGGCTGTTGAGCTAAATCATCTAGCACTTGAGGTAATTTACGTCAGCAAATAGGAGTTAGAGTTTCCTTATTTTCCTGCACTCTGTTCTCAGGGGAAGCACACCCCCAAGGAGAGCAGGTTAACGTGTGCACAGCAGATGGGAGGCTGCTGTCTTTGTCCCCCAGGGGATGCAGGTGTGGGTGTGGGACCCCAGGAGGCAGTTCTGGACTCAGCAGGTGGCAGAGCTGTTGGCCTCATCCACCCTTGTCTGCAGCCTCCTCTTAAGGGGAGGGAGCAGAGATGGGCTCTGCTCACAGTTTAGATGCCACTGACTTCCCTCAGGGGTGACATGGACAGGGAAGGGGGTTGGTGGGGAGCAAATGCTGTGAAAGGAAAGAGGAAACTTCCAGGCCCTTCCCTTCCAAAGCAGCTTATCCTTAAGATCATTGCAGGACCAACAGTGCAAAGAGGAGAAAATTCTGGGACCTCAGGATGTGGGAACTGGGCTCAGTATTCCTTTCAGTCCCCCATTGGACACTCTTAAGATCCACTAAAGGACCCAGGGGTGGTTGGAAGCTACAGGGGGCATAGGAGATGCTGGGATTCCAATCATAGGTGACCTCAGGCATCTTATCTAGATGGAGACCTCCCATGGTTCCTCCTCTTCAGACACAGCTGAATGCTACAACAGTAACAGTAACTAAAATGGGGCCCCTTGGCACTTTACCAAGCCCTTTGCAGCAGTAGTCCTCACAACAACCCTATGAGGTTAAGCTTTATAGTTCCCATTGTACAGAGAAGGAAATTGAGCCTTGGGGAAGTCATTTGACTAAGGTCTCATAGCTCCTAAGTGGCATCAGAGAGACTCCAAGCCAGCCCTCTCTCTGTACCCAGCAGGAGATACCATCAGTTCACTCCCATCTAGTAAAACGTATGGAGCCACTGGCCTGGGCCCAGCTCCAGCCAGGGCCAGGGCAGCTTGGCTCCCAAGTGTGTAGGGCTCTTCCCCTGTAGGACTTTGACCCAGCCTCCCTCCTGCTTTCTCAGGTGGTGAAAAACCTCCAGACATCTCCCATGGATTTGTGATCCAGGTGGGCAGCTCTCCCAGCAGCCCTGGACAGCAGTGAGTAACCTCAGCATGGGAAGGGGCCTGGCTGCCCTCATCTCTCCCTTCTCTCGCTCCATCCTACCTTTCCTTCAACTGATTTCTTCTGCAAACTAACACTAATCCAGAGCCTCCCTCTGGAATCTGTGCATCCTGCAGCCCTTCACTCTTCGTGGGTGAGAGCAAGTTGTTCTTTGTTTGTTTCCTTTTAATAACTAATGTTGTATCTGCTTGTTTTTTTTTTAAGTCAAACAATGCAGAAGCACACTATGTAGAAAGTGCAGGTTTTTGGGTATGAGAGCTACCAAGTGTCCCACCTCCCCCCACCCCTGTGTTCATCCCAATACTCCAGTACCAGAATTAATCCACCTTTTTACAGATGGGCAAACTGAGTCACAGAGAGGCAAAGCGTTTGGTCCAAGTTCATAGGCTAGGAAGTGGCGAATCCAGGACCCTGCGGGAGCCAAATCGCCCATCAGGCTGTTTAGCAAAACAACACAAAATTGTTCCCCTAAAAGGAATTTTTAAGTGAAAGGTGGGAATTCTGTTTTAAATATATTTCCCAGAGGATGAGAGGGTATAGCTCTGTGGTAGAGCACGTGCTTGGTGTGCACAAGGAACTGGGTCCAATTCCCAGTGCCTCCATTATGGAGTTGGGAGGATGGATGAAGAGAGGGAGAGAGAGATTTCGCCCCACTCCCGACAGAAAGAAAAAGCAGGGTGGGAAGAGAAAGAAAAGGAAAAAGAAACATTGCCTAAAGTATTGTGAAACTGGCCTTTTGCTCTGCAAAAACTGGAGATAATGGCTTATGTCTTAACGTCACTTTCCTGGGTGAGCCCCCAACTGAGGTGGCTGTGGCCTGAGGCAGCAACGACAGGTTGGGTGATCAAGTCCCAGGGCTGCTCGCTGTCAGGACCGGGCAGGAATTGGGGTGTGGGGCCGGGGAGCGGATCGCGGTCCTGACCGCTGCGTTCTCGCCCCCACTTGCAGGACCCGGGCCGGCGGCATGTGGCTGCGGCGCGTCTCCGGCACGGCGGTGACCGCGCTCCTGCTGGCGCAGACTGGCCTCCTGCTCTTCCTGGTCTCCCGGCCCAGGTCACCGTCCCCAGCGGGAGGCGAGGAGCGGGTTCATGTGCTGGTGCTGTCCTCATGGCGCTCAGGCTCTTCCTTCGTGGGCCAGCTCTTCAGCCAGCACCCCGATGTCTTCTATCTGATGGAGCCCGCGTGGCACGTGTGGTCCGCCCTGTCGCAGGGCAGCGCGGTGGCGCTGCACATGGCCGTACGCGACCTGGTGCGCTCCGTCTTCCTGTGTGACATGGACGTTTTCGATGCCTACCTACCGTGGCGACGCAACCTGTCGGACCTCTTTCAGTGGGCAGAGAGCCGCGCGCTGTGCTCGCCGCCTGCCTGCAGCGCTTTCCCGCGCGGCGCCATCAGCAGCGAGGCGGTGTGTAAGCCGCTGTGCGCGCGGCGGCCCTTTGGCCTGGCCCAGGAGGCCTGCCGCTCCTACAGCCACGTGGTGCTCAAGGAGGTGCGCTTCTTCAACCTGCAGGTGCTCTACCCGCTGCTCAGCGACCCGGCTCTCAACCTGCACATTGTGCACCTGGTGCGCGATCCGCGGGCGGTGCTGCGCTCCCGCGAGCAGACCGCCAAGGCGCTGGCGCGCGACAACGGCATCGTGCTGGGCACCAATGGCAAGTGGGTGGAGGCCGACCCGGACCTGCGCGTGGTGCGCGAGGTGTGCCGCAGCCATGTGCGCATCGCCGAGGCCGCCACGCGCAAGCCCCCGCCCTCCCTGCGCGGCCGCTACCGCCTGGTGCGCTTCGAGGACCTGGCGCGGGCGCCGCTGCCGGAGATCCGAGCACTCTACGCCTTTGCCGGCCTGAGCCTCACACCGCAGCTCGAAGCCTGGATCCACAACATCACGCACGGGGTCGGGCCCGGCGCGCGCCGCGAGGCCTTCAAGACCACGTCTAGGGACGCGCTCAATGTCTCGCAGGCTTGGCGCCACGCGCTGCCCTTTACCAAGATCCGCCGCGTACAGGAGCTGTGTGCGGGCGCGCTGCAGCTGCTGGGCTACCGACCGGTATTCTCCGAGAACGAGCAACGAGACCTCACCCTGGACCTGGTGCTGCCTCGCGGCCCTAGCAGCTTCAGCTGGGCATCGTCCACTACCGCTGAGCACCCGTAGCGGAAGGAAGCCCCCAGCTGTGGCTGGCGCTTCCAGGAGACTTGCGTGGTGTGGGGAGGGAGCCGGGGCACACGGGGCGCTGGCCGCTACTGGAGGGGCCGGGAGTTGGGAGCCCCCCGCCATTCCGGAGTAGGAGGACCGTGTCCCCAAACTATGTTTCTTGCTCCCCACTTCTTGGTTTTCCTTTGAGTACTCTTTAGGAGCTGGGTTCCCATCTGGCACACTCTACATGTAAAGCGATCTCGTGCCCCCACTTCCCCTGGGCACAGGGAATAAGTTCAGCCGACTTGGCTCCTACACCAGCACTTTCTTTCCCCTTAAGTCTCTTCTTCCTCTGGATGCCTCATTCTGCAGCTGAGAAGGGTGTGCCAGCCTTGCCTGGAGCGAAGGGGCACTGTGGTGAGCTGGCCCCGAAGTTAGTACATCTCCGCCCACACACACCCCGGATGCCTCCCTGCGCGCCTCCCCCCCCCAACCCCAGGCCCCTGGCACCACAAGCCGCTAAAGCCAATGCGTTTATATTTTCCAGTATCTTCAGCAAGAAATCAGACAAGGTGTGTTGTGGTTTCCTCTTACTCTCTCTGCCCCAATCTCCCAGGAGCCCAAACGCCCCTATCACCTGCCTAGATAAGGTGAATCTTTGATTTGTCCTGACGGGAAAGTTCCTACCTACAGAAATAAACATAATTAACCTGTATGATAGAGACTAGCGTTTACAGCCTGTAAAATTTGACAAAACTCAAAAGTGAAGGGACTTGTCCAATGCCACATGGTAAGAAGGATAAAGGGAGGAGGGAGGTTTGCTCTGGGGCTACAGTAGGGAGGAGAGAGTGAATCAGGCTTGCAGAGACCCGTTTCTGGGGCAAAGAAGGGTCAGATTTTCCCATCCTATTTCCCTAAGGGATGAGCAAGCAGCCCTGGCTGGGGCCACAGCTGTGGGGTGAGATATGAGAAGTGATGAGCTCTGTGTCCAGAGTGCAGAATCTAGGGAGCTTCCTGGATAAGCCTGGAGGGAGGCAGCGAGGAGGAGAGGAGGAGGGAGAGAAGGCTGGGGAGGCTTGGGCAGCAAGCCAGGCAGAGCGTGTGGCAGAGCATGAGGTTGGCAGCAAGATCAGTGTTGGGAGGGCAGGTCACAGGAAGAATGTAACTAGATAAAGCTTGCCAGGAGCTTGGAAGGAAAAAGGCTCTGGAGTGGTTGTCTTCCCTTGGTCCTTATGGGCCAGGCCCAGGAGGAGAGCACAGTATGATTCCTAGCTGCACACCACAACACCTGGCTCTGGCAGCAAAGGATCTTAAAAGGGATGCTAGATTTAAAAAGTGTGTGTGGTGGAAGGGTGGGAGGGTGAAATTGAAGACAGCTAGTTGTAAGCTCAGGAAATGAGAGCTAACAAGTAAGTGCTCAAAAAATGTTTAAAAGAAAAAAAAACCTCATAGAACCACTAGGAAGGACAGGGAAGCAGATTTGAGTCTACACAAATAGAATACTCCCGATCACACTGGGATGCGAGGTTGGTCTGGGGACTGACAGTTGCCACCAGAACACCTGTGCCCATTACCTCTGGATGTGAGGGAGCTGCCCTCCCCCTTGCCATCAGTCACCAGAAGGAATTCTGGAGGTTGCTAGCTTCTGATTCTCAGCCTGGGTGTGGCCTTGGATTAATGGGACCTGGATTGTGGACCCACATCCTCACTGCAAAGTAGGCAGGAAGGGCAAGGGTGATCTGGCATTTTTCACTTCTCTTCTTGCCAGGAGCAGCGGTATACTGACCTTGAGGCTGGAGCTTCAGGATGCCTCATCTGGGGATCCACCAAGCTATAGAAGCTTCAGATCCCATAAAACCTCTATTTGCCTCTGCTCACAATAGCATGGGGAAGGTAGTTAAAACCCAGAATTTATTAATGGAGACTTCAGTTTAGAAAGGCTTGGGTCACATGGCTTAATACACAGGCTGGGACTCAAACTCACATCTTTGACAACAATGATCATGGTTCTAACAAGTAAACCGAACTGGGGAGGCAGCAAAGGATTCCATCACAGGCGTGGAAAACCAGATCATTTACGTCCTTAGAAAGCCAGATTATAACCCAGGGACGTGGGTCTCTGGGTGTCAGGGAGCTGTCCTGATATTTTGTTTGTTTCTAGTTTCATTGGGAAATAATTAACATCCATCACTGTATAAGTTTAAGGTGTACAGCATGATGGTTTGATTTACGTAGATTGGGAAATTATTACCACAATAGTTTTAGTTAACATCACTCACATCATACAGAGAAAATGAAAAGAAAAATTTTTTTAATTTATAAATGTTATAAGAGATAAAGACTTAATTCCTCCATCTCTCCTTCCTCATCCTCTCTCCAAATTTACCATACTTTTAATTATGTAATTGGCCCACAATACTATGTTAGTTCCAGGTGCACAACATAGTGATTCGATATTTCTATATGTTACAAAATGATAACCACCGCCCTGGCATTTGGCTGCAAACATCTCAAAGATCAGAAGGATGAAAGGTATGGTGGGCAGTTGGCTGGGGCATATTTCATGACTTTTTAAAATACTATTTTTGTTTTAGAAAAGTTTCTTGGTTGATGTAAAATCCCAGTTGTGGTGTTAGAGAACTGGCATTAGAAAGTTTCCAAGACAAAGGGTTTTTAGAGGGAACTCGAATAAACAATCTTGCTAATGTTCTTGAATTAAAAGGAAAATAATACATATTTTGTACACAATGCTTCTTACTTTTTTATTGAAATATAGTTGATATACAATATTATGTCAGTATCAGGTGTAGTACATAGTGATTTGACATTTGCATACATTATGAAATGATCACCATAAGTCTAGTAACCATCTGTTTCCAGTCATTACAATATTATTGACTATATTCCTTACGTTGTATACAATGGTTTTTTAAAGTGAAGTTTTCCCCCGAAATCATTTTCCTTCCAAATACTGAAAGTATTGCTGCATTGTCTTCCAGCCTCTCGCACCTGGGTGCTGAAACATCTGATTCTTATTGCCAGATGCCTGTGTATGTATGTATTTATTGATCTCCCTATCCCCTCCCCTATCTTCCCATACTTTCCTATAGGTGGCGCTGCCGAGGAGGGCAGAGAAGAGCACGCACCACTGGAGCACTAACGACTTCCCCAGTAGGGGGCGTAGCCCGTAGGTGCTGGGTCTCGGAGAGCCGTACGCAACGTCAGGGGCGGGGACAACTCTCGCCCCGCCCCTTCCATCTGCGGCGCCCTGTGATTGGAGGGAGGAACCAATACTTGGCAGCGCCGTTGGGGTGCGAGGAAGAGGGCCCCGGCCGAAGGTGACGCTGAAGCGGCGGAGGTGCGGAGAGCGGAGCCGGCCGTAAGTGACAGCAAGCCACGGCAGCACTTCGGGCGCTCTCC